AGTTGCTATAAAGGTGAAAACGGCATTATATCCCCATATAGGATGTATCCCAGAAATTAAAAGATGTATTAACATTATTTTCATGAAAAATATGAAAAAGCAGCCATGAACAAGACTCCTGCATATCCCTGCTACTTTTCAACATTGCAAAAAAGGTCCTAAGCAATGTAATAAAATGAGAAAAAGAGAAAAAAGATAAGAATAGGCATGAATGAAAATAAAACTGTCCCAGATACGACAGTCTACCTAGAAAATTCAACAGAATCAATTGACAAACTATTAAAACCAAGAAGAAAGCTTAACACATGGTCAGATACAATAACATCATACAAAAAACTACAGCTTTGTGTAGCACCAGCAATAAGCAATCAGAACTATTCCATTTTGCATAACTTCTTTTTTCAATTAAAAATGTACAGACACAGTTGAAACTCCTTGTGCACTTCTTCCCCTTTCCATTAAACTCTCTCTGTCCACTTTTACAATCACTGTCTTGCATTTGGAGTTTTTCTTTCTCATGCATGCTTTTTGTATGTCACCATATGTGTGTGTACTTAAAAATCTATAGTAATGTATATTGTTTGAAATTATTTCAAAATAAAAGGTAAAAATATACATAATTTTGCAAATTGAAAAGTTATATACAAATGGTATTAGATTTTATATACAATATATAGCTTTCTCATGCAACTTCATTTTACCCTTTAATATCTTTAGACTTATTCAACTGGTATTTGTACATGTATATTGACATTCTTTCTCATTATCTGGTGTTGCAGGAAGTCAAGGACCCCGAACGGAGGGACTGGCTGAAGCCACGGCAGAAGAACATAAATTGTGAAGATTTCATGGACATTTATTAGTTCCCCAAATTAATACTTTTATAATTTCTTACGACTGTCTTTACTGTAATCTCTGAACATAAATTGTGAAGATTTCACGGACACTTATCACTTCCCCAATCAATACCCTTGTGTTTTCCTATGCCTTTCTTTAATCTCTTAATCCCATCATTTTCTTCGTCAGGTGAGGAGGATGAATGTCACCTCAGGACCCTGTGATTGTGTCAACTGCACAGATTGTTTGTAGAGCATGTGTGTTTGAACAATATGAAATCTGGGCATCTTTAAAAAAGAACAGGATAACAGCGATGTTCAGGGAACAAGAGAGGTAACTTTGAACTGGCCGCCAGTGAGCAGGATGGAACAGAGCTATATTTCTCCTCTTTCATAAGCAAATAGGAGAAATATTGCTGAATTCTTTTTCTCAGCAAGGAACATCCCTGAGAAAGAGAATGCGCTCAGAGGGTAGGCCTATGAACGGCCCCCTTTAGAAGTGTGCCGTCTTTTATGGTCGAAGCCGAAGGGATGAAATAAGCCCCGGTCTCCTGTAGCGCTCCCAGGCTTATTAGGACGAGGAAATTCCCGCCTAATAAATTTTGGTCAGACGGGTTGTCTGCTCTCAAACCCTGTTTCCTGATAAGATGTTATCAATGACAATGCGTGCCCAAAACTTCATTAGCAATTTTAATTTCACCCCATCTGGTGGTCCTGTGATCTCGCCCTGCCTCCATTTGCTTTGTGATATTTTATTACCTTGTGATGGTGATCTCTGTGACCCACA